ATATATATATATATATATAATTTTACTAAAAGTGTTTTTTCTAGCGCTTTACAAAGTAGATTATGTAAAAGCAGCTTAACATAGAAGTTCTAGTCAAAGTCCAAATTTTAGAGTTGAAGTTCAGTTATTATTTATTATTATGTTAGCTTTATTATTCATTTATTATTTTTTATTTAGCTTTTATCCAAAGTGTAAAATAAAATATATAAATAAATGAAAAAAAACAAGACCTAAATATTTCTCATGTGCATTTATCTTGATTTGAAAATGTTTACCTTTTAAAAAAAAGAAAACTACGCAAAAAATAAAAGCATTTTATGCAGTGCGCCACGAAGAAAGAGCATGACTCTGAGATGATCGCAGGCTGATCACAGCCAAGAATGCAAGGAAAAGCATTATGGGAGATGAAGGAAAACATAAAGAGAGATGATGATGATGAAGATGAAGAAGATGAAGTCGTCTTCCAGTGCAGACAGTGACACATGAACACACAATATAAGGTGCTGTGAATGTTCAGTCCCATGAATGTTTATGCTTTAACTGCAAGACAGAATGAAATGAAGGACGTCTCTTCCTCCAGGAGGAAAACAAGCACAGATGAAGAGCAGAATAACACTGGAGATGTGACACAAACAGATCCCTCCAGGAGGGTTTCAGCATTTTCTTGGAAATCTTTAAACTTTAGGAGCTTCACTAATGACACAGATCTTAAAGTGTGAAGTAAAATGCACAGAAACAATAGTAATACCACAGTGTGCTGCATCCCACAATGCAACACAATCATAACCCTTCATAAGTGTTGAAGCTAGAGGCCATGGTCTTTAGCCTCCTTTGTAGAGCAACTACTCCCATGTGGAAGGTCGCCGGTTTGATACCAGCTCAGAGCGGGTTGGATAGCGACAGATACTAGAGGCCATGGTCTTTAGCCTCCTTGGTAAAGCAACTACTCCCATACGGAAGGTCGCTGGTTCGATCCCAGCTCGGTGCGGGTTTTGTGGCGTAGGAACGGCGGGGCTATGTTGGTGCCGTGACCCGGATGGGAGTGAGGTTTAGAGGGGTGAGTGTAATGGAGACCAGCTAGTAAGTGCTGTGCAGGTAAACCTCACTCCTCTGACCTCTAAAGGTGATCTAGTGACAGACGCTAGAGGCAATGGTCTTTAACCTCCTTGATAGAGCAACTTACTCCCATGCGGAAGGTCGCCGGTTCAATCACAGCTCGGTGCGGGTTTTGTGGCACAGGAACGGTGGGGCTATGTTGGTGCCGTGACCCGGATAGGAGTAAGGTTTAGGGGGGTGAGTTTAATGGAGACCAGCTAGTGTGTGCTGTGCAGGTAAACCTCACTCCTCTGACCTCTAAAGGTGCTGTAGCGACAGACACTAGAGGCAATGGTCTTTAGCCTCCTTGGTAGAGCAACCAACTCCCATGCAGAAGGTCTCCGGTTCAATCACAGCTCGGAGTGGGTTGGGTGGCGTAGAACCGGCAGGGTTAGATTAGCAGTGTGGCCAAATGAACTGAAAGCAATGAGACTTCTTCCATCAGATGCACAAAAGTTACATTATTAGATGCATCAAATATCATTAAATAGCAGTAAGAATACTGCATGAATGAGCTTTATTTTCTTCCTCAGAACTATTTTACTTTCAAAATGGTTGGCCCTGCTGGAAAACTATTATTCTTTTTCAAATAGAAATAACTTATTAAAGTGATAAAAACTTTTTTTTTTAGCAAAGCAATAAAACAAATGATAATATTTATATATATTTATGACAAGAATGGCAGCTGAATGAGGTGTGAGGGAAGGACGTAAACGATTTATATTTGGAAGGTGGAAATAGGCGGACCGGGTGACATTATTAACATGTGCAGTGAATGAAAGGGTGCTGTCGAAGATGACCCCCAGACTCTTAGCCTGAGGGGAGGGGGTAATGACAGAATCCTCTGTGGGAATGGAAAAGCTATGTGATTTATTTAAAGAGGATCGTGTACCTATAAGGAGAAGTTCAGTTTTATTGTCATTTAATTTCAGGAAGTTTGTGGTAAACCAGGATTTGATGTCTGCAAAGCAATTAGTAAGGGATGAAGGTGGGAGTTTGTGGGTGGGTTTAGTTAATAGGTAGAGCTGGGTGTCATCTGCGTAGCAAAGAAAATGAATTTTATATTTTATTTTATATATATACATATATATATATATATATATATATACAAAATATGGGATTTGTCAGTGGGCAAATCTGACCAGGATGCCAGGGTTAAACCCCTACTCTTTTTCGAAGGACATCCTGGGATTATTTAAGACAACAGAGAGTCCGGACCTCAGTTTAACATCTCATCAGAAATACAGTACTCATTGACACTATAATGTCCCCTTCACTATACTGGGGCGTTAGGACTCACACAGACCACAGGTTGAGCGCCCCCTGCTGGCCTCACTAACACCACTTCCAGCA